CCCCAAAACCCCAAAACCCCTAATTGAGAGATTATAAGGATGAAAAATGAATGCTTTATTGATAAAAATATGTACTTGATTAAAAATCATGGTAAATCTTACGATTTATAAGCAAAAAATATTTAACCTAATAATAATGGATTACAAGGATAAATGATCAAACTTGGAAATGAAAAAGTACTAATCAAAACCCAACAACACGGTTTTTCTCAAGATTCTATAAACAAGCATGATAAACAAATGATAAACCGTAGCATCTAACAAACTCAATGGAATCATAAGACTTAGCAGCAGACTTTGTAGACTATATTTAATGACAAAATTTAAAGTCTTCCGAATAAAAATGAGAGGCGGCTCTAAGAGAAAAATGATTTTGATGTATATGGAGGAGCAAATCTGAGGTATGGGCATAGAATTTTTAACAAGCCAAAATGAGCAAAGCTAATCGATACATTGTTAAAAAATGATCAAGGAATCAGTTTCAAGTCTTAAGATCAGTAGATAGTAGTCGGATAGAGAAAAAATCTTTAGGATAGATTAAGTTCTATAGTGATTAAAAATGGTGGAAGTCCAAATTCCTATAGTCCGATTTTAAAGCCTTATCAGTAAAAAAACCACAAAAACCACTTTGAGCATAAGAGATTTTCAGAGATACATGTAAAAAATAATAATACTTCTAAATTCATCGATCCTTATTACCAAGAACCTATTCACTCTAGAAGAATGAAGCAATCCCTTTAAGAAATAGAGAAAAAGAGACAGTCATCAATATCTTGGAGAGATAAAGATAATCAAAGCAGCTTTGGAGGAATGCAAGGTCAGAATAAGAGCATTGATTAAATATTAAATTCAACAGAATATAAATAGAAACAACGAGCAGTTCTCTATATTTAACCAGTAAAGTATGACCTCTCAGATAGTGATATGATAAATTCTTTCGCTACAAGTAAGAAAACATCCACTTAGAGCAAAAATTAAAAGACAATAACTCCTTTAACAATGGATAGTTTGGATAAATAAATTAAAAAATAAGAAGCTTATGAATCATTTATACAAAATAAACGAAGATTTATGTCACCTGACTCACTTCAAAACCTCTAACATTAAAAGGCCATAGCTGATAAAGAATTGAAAATAATATCAACTGCTATACAAAAACCAGATCTTATAAATTTAAGCATTGATTCTTCCAAGTAAAAAAAGCTATAAAATATGAAAAGAAATTTCGCAGAGGAAATTGTTATTGAGGAACAAAAATCTCTAACTAACTAGAGAAATTCAACCAGAATTATCACTTTGAATAAAAATACTGAGCAACTTTAGTTTGAGGGAAGTCCTTCATAGGATTACGAATAGATTAATCACTAATCTTTGAATAATCTCTAGTTAATGAACTCATAATAAGTTACCACCGAACATAGAACTCCATAAGAATTCCACAATGATTAAAAAGAAGAGTTCAATAATTAGTCACTTTAGTCTAGCATGAATGGCTAATTTTCAAACAGTGTTTTCATATTCAATATACAAGTGAATCATAATTTGAAGATAAAAAATAAAAGAGAGCCGAATAGATTTCAGCATTTCTAAGGACTTAACAAAACAAAGCCAAGAAAATAAAATTAAGCCAAAGCTGATGCTACGAAATAGCAACAACTTTAGATCATGAATACTAGGAAGATGGCTGATGCTTACACTACTTAATTACAATTCTACAATGATGCCAGCAAGGATGTGGATTAGCAAATTAAAACCTCAAACCAAATAGTAAAAGATACTTATTTTCATTCAATCGATTAATAGAATGAGCAGATTTCAGTTCCTAGTTAGAATCTCTTAACAGAGTAGCCTATTGATAAATAGTAAATTTAATTCTAAACTAGAAACCAACTGACGATTGGACCTTATGGACAACAAAACAATTAAATTAGTGATATAAATTCAAGAAATCATAGTTAATAGAGTAAAACTTATATTCCAGGTTCGAAATCATTTTAGAGTCTCGATTTCAACACTGAAAGCTCTGTTAATTCAAGTTTCTAACAATCTATCAGAGAAAATAACAGTGTCCTTCAATTTCCAAAAAGGCTCAATTTTCAGGTTAACAACAACCTTTAAAATAAATTCTTTCATAAATAGTAAGTCTAAAAATAGATTGGTATTGATAAAGTATTAAACGGGCTTTAAAGACATAGAAAGCTATAAAAAATTATGAGAGATTTAGTAGTCCCTCCTCCAATCATTTAGTAGTCTAAAAGAAATTCTCCAGAAAAGAGAAAAGTATAAAATTAATAGCAAAGACAGGAGAATTCAGGGAGCATTTAATATGACCTAATCAATGAAATGTGAATTATAATTCCCGGCCCTTAAATCTTAATTTCATCAATAAACTTCTTTTTTTTACTTGTGGGGTTTTGGGGTTTTGGGGTTTTGGGG